ATTATTTTTTTAAATTATATTATATTGATCTTTTTCTATAATGTATTAATCTTTAATTTAGTACCATAAGTGTTACTAAGTTCCTTTATCAATGACTGTGCAATTGAATTGTTCTTTCAATTCACTTAAATTAATAATGACAAGCAAATATCTCATTTATTCAACACATTTTGTATTTCGAAAGGATATCAAATATTATAATCACTCATTTTTCTTTATATATCATCACTTTGAAGTAATGTATAAACTACCAATGCAAATGTAGCAAATAATTAATAATTGATATTTAATAATTAATAATTATTATTATTTATAATTTAAAATTTTTTATTTGTTAGATCAATTCAAATTTTTAATTACAAATCTCAAAATTTTATATCATACACTTGATTTAAGAGGTGAGTTCCTAATGATTGCTGTGTTTGAGTTGTAGGGTTTGCATTTTCCATCTAAAAAATAAATAGTAATAAAATAATAGTTGATTTCTTAAAATGTGAAATGCTTGTTAAAATGAATGTTTGAGGATGTTAGATGCAAATGAAGATACCAATCCTATTCTTTATTTGCAGTTGTCTGACAATTTTTGTTCTTTAACATTATGGGGTGGAGCTAATGGCAAAAGAGCTTCAGCTTGATGAAGGACACCTAAATGTTATAGGTTGTTCCTAGAAGTATATGGAAACTTCATGAGGTTAGGATCTCACAAACTTCTTTACTACATTTACTTGTCACCTAAGGAATCCTCAAGTTTTTCATATTCTTGAATTTGACTTTATTTTGTATTTTAGATTTCTTTTATGCAACCTCAACCACTTCCTTGGAAGGGTTTAGAAGGTGAAGAACTCTTTAAGGTGACAGGAATCCCTAGTTGTGTTTTTGTTCACATGAGTGGATTTATTGGTGGAAATAAAAGTTAAGATAGTGATTTTGCTATGGCTAGAGCTCTATTGAAGGCATAAAGTAGATAACCAAGTTACATGCTACATTGGGAGCACTGCCCTGTGCCTCAAGCAAGATTTCAAATGGACTTTAATAAGAGAGATGATAAATGCAAGAACATCCATCATAATTTTAGGGAGCTTAATATTACTAACTTTCTGAGTCAACCACCAAGATTATTTATCACCTTGAAGAGGTACTCTATAATTTCATTGATCTTATCACGATATTTGATGCCCTTTTGTGGCTTTTCAATATTGAAGGTTTATAACCTCATGCTTTAATTAACATTTAGATAGTTACATACACTTCTGCTTCTGCAAAATCACTGACAATATTTCAAGTTCCATGTCAGAGATAATGCAAGGTTGTTGCTAGAAAAATGATAAACATCAATTAGTCTGTAATCTTATCTTAGCTTCCATTATTTAACTCCTATAATCTACCTTGGACTGGATGCCGGAGTTCTTGTAATAAATTACCAATATCTTCAAACTATTACAGTTTACACACACATTCAAGTTCTAAATGACAAATATTTAGTGAAATAGTTTTCACAGGACTAATAAGATTTAGTCTTCTTAGTTGATCAAAAGATTCAAACTTCAATATTGAAACAAACCAAATATGTGGGTTCACATAACAAAATTAGTCAGTCTTGTCACCAATACACTAACATTCTCAATGAAGCCAAAACTTAAGCTTCTCTATAAGCTTCATCCTTACATTGACATCACTCTTTAGATACTGTTGGTAGTCCTTCTTTGAGCCATGTGTATAGGCCTCCTTCTAAGTGGAATACGTTTTTGTAGCCATTAAGAACAAGTAGGCTGCTATTAGCGATCTGTAGAAAATAGCAATAAATGTATCTGGCTTTTTAAACTTAATTAGAACGATTGACCAAAAAAAAAAATGAAAACCTTAATTGGAATGCTTCCTAGATGGTTTTGATCTATATGTAATTTTGAAACAATTCTGATTTTAATCTTTTTCAACCATGTCAGTCTATTAGTTTGAACAACTTTTGCAAGCAACATTAGTTGACTATCACAAGTTTGAATGAGATTACTTTGCTATACTTTGCTTTAAAAAATATCCAGATACTAGTGGTAGACAACTATGGCCGAAAAGAGAATTTTTGCATGCATTGACATTCTAGGCATATCACATATACGTATACAAAGGGAAACTTGTTATATAGTATGGACTACACTAAACTGTAAAACAGAAATTATTGGATTGGGGACCCCAATGTTATGGGGCTTAACCCCTATTAGTCCAAACTACAAAATACTTTTTCCATATACAAATTAGTTAGTGATTTTAAATAACGTTTTAGTTTTAAAGATGTAATCTTCTAGTTTCATTTGGTTA